ATGTTCTGATTGATTAGTAACATTAACCTTTTTTAGCCAGCTTGTTTGACTCGAGCTCAGCATATATGATTTCTGGGATACATAATGTGAATAAGGACTCCAATATTAATAAAAATTAATAATCAATGCATTCAATAATTTTTTGTTCAAATTTATTTATGAGCGATGATAAGATTTTACTGGCAAATTTGGCTACCAAAACTAAAGAACTAGATTGAATGGGGAGGAGGACACAAAATAGGAGAAGAGCCTTGTAATTTTATTGTTTGAAGGTAGAGATGTCAAGGCAAGTAAGTTATTGTGTCCTTCGGCTTACCCTCTGATCTCTTATTTATAGGTGGGACTAGTCGAGTAGAGGTAATGCTTTAAAATTATTTTAGAAGGTATATATATATATGACATAATATGGTGATATATAATCATGCAACAAAAAGAATATATTATGTCTTATTAATTACATGAGATATGTATTAATTAGAACTTTTCAAATAAAATTGGGCCTGCATGTAGCTATTGATTAATCTTATATGATCTGACTAACTAGTAAGATCAACCTTTTTTAGCCGGCTTGTTTGACTTGAGCTTGGCATAAGTGATTTGTGGGATACATAATGTGAATCAAGACTCCAATATTAATAAAAATTAATTATAATTATTAAGTTTTTAACTGATATGAGTTTTAATCTAATTTTGGTAAGCTTAAACCCCATCTTATTACTTTATAAATGCGTTCATAATTTTTTCGTAAAAATTGCATAATTTGCATTGAAATATTTCAAATTTTACTTTATTAATCTAATTGTTTGAAATTTTTTTGAAGCATTAATAAAATAAATTAAATTTTAATTTGTCCTTCAAATTATTTGATTCATAATTTTATTATATTTATGAAATGTGAACTTAAAAAGTGACGAAATTGACAACTTAAGCTATATGCTTAAATGAATATTTCATACAGATACAGTTTGTAGGGAACTCCAAAAATATGTGCACAAAATTTTGTTCAAATTTCTTATTTTAACGCTCAGTTCCAAAATTTTTATTAAAATTTTAAATTATTTTAATAAATAAAAAATATATGAAACTTATATAAATAAATATTAAGCCATTATCAAACTTATATGCGCCGAGAGTACGTCATAGATCGATCGCACAATCTTCATGACTAGTTATCATTGATAATAACTACTTTTTTGCATTTCTAATGTCGATCGATGCTAACTTCTATCCTCATAATGGCCTCCAAAGTCATACATGAGACTCTTAATAAGCGTCCTTGTAGCTTTCAACCATGCATCGAGGCCAAACTCATGCTGGGTAGCCTCCACACTATATTTTAGGGGTTTTTACATACATAACACTTAAAACTATTCTATTTACATATCTAACACTTAAACTTTCCTATTTACTACTCTACCATCTAAAAGCGCTTGCCTTCATCAAAACTAACACTCCGTAACCTCCCGTCACTTCTTCTGGCCGACGAACTCACCCGTCCGCTTCATTCTCCTTCGGAATGTCACCGTGCCATCTTTGATTCCCTTCCACCTCCTTCAACCTCGCCGTCATCGTCGATACCACAATCTGAACTCCCCAATCGACAATCGGACATTCTTCCAAGCCGTCATAGCCGACTGCAGCGGCAACAATCAGATCCAGCTGGACGAAGAGAAAAAGAAATCGAAGAAGAAAAATAAGAACATTTACCACGATGTGAAGGTGCCTTTTTTCGTTTCCCCGTCGAAAACATCTTTTTTTTACCCGTCTGGCTGGTCCCCCCTGTTGATAAGCTCAAGCATCCATGGGTTTCTCGGTTTGCAAATTATGGGGGTATGTCTGTTTGATTTAATCTCATTTTTTCTAACAATTCCAATGAAAACCACTGATGTTGTATAAAGGAAGGATAATTCCAGGCTCAGTTTAAAGGAGGACATGATTCTTCATAATTATCATTGGTCATCATCGCGCCTTAATAATCCTTCCAAGGTACCTTCCATTCTCCATATTCAGAAACATCCAAAAGCCATCTCCAATCATCTGCATAAGAATAAGATGAGCAGTTCATCAATTAATTTGTCAATTTAATTAAGAAGTAGCCAAATGAAAACGAGGTGAAAACAAAACCATCAATTTAATCAACAAGCAACCAATGAACCCTAATTGTATGAAAACTGGCTCGTGAATGCACAATTCAACCCATAACTCATGTAGAACAAAATCACTAACATTATTTTCATGCAGAAAACCCAAGTAGCAAATCTTACCCAATCCTATTAAAGCTGAAACATCCACTAATAGCACGAAAATATCAAAACGAATGAGATGCTTTCGAAAACCTCTAAAAAACTCACCCTTCCAACGCGAACGCTACGATATTTCTTCAATTCGCCTTCAGAATGCTCTTCCCCATCGGGATCTTCCAAGGCAACGCAAGAAGTGGGAGAACGGATCGACTTCCAAGCGAAGTAACCGGCGAGCGTGGCGGAAAGGAACACGAGAATGAACCGGAGGGGAC